CTGTATTCTCTAAGTCCTTGCATAGCTGCAAATATTTCCTTTCACCTGGGAGTGGAATGGCAGTCTGACTGGCCTCTGGACTCTTGGGTTGCAGTCCTTTTCTTTCAGGTGTCTGTAGCTGTTTTCCCACAGTCTCCCTGGCCCCAGGGTGACAGGTGAGACGGCTATTCCTTTTCACGTGAGTGTCACTTGGTGTTTCTGGCTGGAAGCTTTGAGATTTTCTCTTTGACCTTGGAGTTGAGAAATTTTACCAGCCTACATCTGGGATGTGTTTTTATGTGTTAGCTTTACCTAAAACTTGGGGATGCCTTTCCTACTACTAACTGAGGACTTTCTTTGGACAAATGTTCTTTCATTTTTGTTTAGTTATTACCTTTCCTACTTTTCAGATTCCTCTGATTTGGTTGTAGGATCTATTGGCTCCATTTCTTAGTCTTCTGCCTTTTACCTTGTGGTTATTATCTCTGTCATTTTGCTCAAGACTAGAGATACTTCTTTTACTTTGTCTGCCTGGTCATTCATGTAAGTTTCAGCAATTGTCCTAAAAGCCTTCAATTCATTTATTGAACTTTATTTTAAATTTTTATCTTTGATAGTCCTGGGGTTTCAACTCAGAACCTTTTTGCTAGGCAAATGCTCTACTACTCAAGCCACACCTCCAGTCCTTTTGTGCTTTAGTTATTTTTTGGATAGGGTCTCATGTGATTTTTGCTTTTGTTTTGCCTGAGGCTGGCTTCAGACCATGATCCTTCTACCAATGCCTCTTTTGTAACTGGAATCACAGGTGCAAGCCACCATGCTAAGCTTGTTTGTTGAAACAAACAATGGGGTCTTGTTAACTCTTTGCCCTGCCTACCCTTGAACCTTGATCCTTCTGACCTCTACCTCCTGAGTAGCTGTGACCAGCACCATTTATTGAAGTTTAAGTCCTGAAGGTCACATTTTCAGTCCTTAGTGCGCTATAATTACATGGGGAGATTTAAGTTACTTGGTTATGTTGGCTTCTGTTTCTTCCATAGCCTCCAGGGGCCTGCTTTCATTATTCTGCTTTTTCTTACTCTCAGACTGCTGAACCTGCTTTATTTGTATAATTTTTATGTTTCTGTGACTTGGGCTCTGTGCTATCCTCTCTGAAGTGCTGATGCCTGGAGTAAAGGAAGGGGCAGAGGCTTTGGCTTCCAAGGGCTTGGTGGTGTGACAGTCAGGATTTCTCTTCCTCAGCCTCATCCTGTTGGCTCAGTCCTAGAGGAAGAGAAGACTCAGCTCATCTTTGAAGCTTTGCCTTACTTTCTAGGGGACCAGAGAAAAGTTTGGGGGTCAGGTTTGGCTTAGATTGCACTCCTACTTCTATGCAGAAATGGTCACCAAGCTGTGAGGAAACGAGACAGAGAGATCTTGTAATTGAAAGCCAGAGACCGAGACATCTCCAAGTACAGATTGGAGCTCAGAAGATGGGGACATCTAGTGTGTGCCCTTTTCTCCTGAGGTTCCAGAAATGGTTGTTGCTGTTGCTTCCCTGACCCACCAAGGTCACTGACCTTGGGACCTTTGCACTCATGCTCCCTTTGCCTCCATGCCTTCCTTCCTCCCTCATTTAGATCTCTCCTTAAATATTGCTCACCACTCACTTGCCACCCTTGTTTTCCCTTCTTTCCCTGTCTTATGCTTCATTATAGCACTTATGTCATTATACGATATCATATGTCTGCTTTTGTCAAATCTCATAAGGATAGGCATTTCATATATTTTTCCCCCAGTACTGAAAATAGCCCTTGGCACACAGTAGGCTCTCATTGAATGGTTTTTTGAATAAATCACTGAGTGGAGGTGTGAGGCACAGTGGAAGCCTTAGAGAGATTGAAGGCACTTGGCCTGTTGCAGGTGGGCTAAAGAGAGAAGAAGCCCCAGCCCCCTACTCACAACATACAATGCGAGGTCACATTGATGCCTCATCTCAGGGGCCAAGGATCAAAAGTTACATAGGATCAAGGTGGCCACACACAGATGGGAACTGAGGTGGCATTTCTTGGAGCTGTGTCTGCTGGCTAAAGCTGCCACATGGGTGGGGACTGTACCCCTCAGCTGTCCAGGTGACATCTGCAGGAAGAAGGCTGTGGAAGAATTCCAAATGTTCGTTGTGTATACTGTGGCACTTATACCACCTTCCCGAGGATTTAACTGCATCCTCAATGCAGCCTAACTCCGGGCCAGCCTGACTGCATAAGCAAGGCCACAGACTCCTCTGGGGTGGGGTGGTGTTTATCAGAGTCAGTGCTCAGGCCTCTTTGAGCTCCCAGTCTCCCAGAAGGACCATCACCCAGGGGGAGGGGCTTCAGGACTTGCACCCACCCTGGGTAAGAAGAGGGGTGCCTGGCTGCTAGTTGTGAGCAAGAATCTCATAAAGTGTGGGTGTTTTCTCATTCCTTCCATCCTTCTGCTGTCTATTTCTCCATGTTATCTAAAGCTCTCAGATCCTGCTGTAACAGGACAGTAAACAGAATGCAAGGAAATGAAGAAAGGGTACTTATCACCAACATCTTGAGAAAGAGGAGAACCCAGTTCTGTGGGGACTGTGCGTCCATGCAGTGTAGTGGGCAGTGTGGCAGGCCTGGCCTGGGCCTCCCCTGAGGCCCTTTTACACAAGGAAGAAAGGAAGGATAGCTATTTAGGGCAGTGGCCAACCCCTATACCTGTCTGTTCTCCCATTGTGAAAGAGGAAACCAGCTTTGGCTTCCTAATACAAAGCCCTTCCCTCAGGGCTGTGGGAGAGAAAAAAAAAAAAAAAACCCAAAAAACTTCACACATCTCAAACTCCAAAAACAGTTTTTTATCTATCCTAAAGTATGGGAATTTAATGATGGAGTAACAAGGTCAAATCAAACTGCAACAGCAAAGTATTTTGTGTGGAATTTTGTTTATTCTTGGCTAATCTAAAGAAATCCTCTAAAAGAAAAAAATACCAGAAATTATCTGTGAAAAATGTGAAAGACAAATCCTCGTGGAACCTCTGTGACAGTCTTGAGCATTTTCCTTCTTCCCCCTGTGGCCAGTTTTTTCTCAAGATGCTTGGTTGATTTGCAGTTGGTTTCTTCCACCAGTGTTCTCTGAAAATCTCAGTTTCCTCCCATACAGCACATCCAGTTGGGGTTTGTGGTAGCAGTCATCAATCATTTTTTGAGTTATTCTTTGTCATAGTCCATTTACACTACTGTGACAGAATACCACAGACTGGGTGACTTATCAACAGCAGAAATGTATTCATCATGGTTCTACAGGATGGATGTCTGAGATGAGGGTGACAGTATGGTCGGGTTCTGGTGAGGGCCTCTTGGCTTCTTGTTATATCCTCACGCGGCAGAAAGCTCTAGCCAGCTCTTTCTGATCGCTTGTGATAAGCACACTGTTTGGAGTATCCGCTTCTTGATCTAGTCACCTCTCAACAGCCCCACCTCTTCATCCCATCACGTTGGGGAATGGGGCTTCAACATGTGAATTTAGGGGCTCACAAACCTTCAGTCCGTAAAACCCATATTCCATGCTGAAGTAGCATGTTGACAGCAGCCAGCTATGAGACCAACTTGTGTAGTTCACCTTTCTCCAATTGCACATGACTGTCCTTGGGTCATGTGGATTGGGTGCTTCAGTTGAAGATTTCTTGGTTTTTTTTTTGCCAGTGCTGGGGATGGAACCTAGGACTTTGTATGTGCTAGGCAAGCGCTCTACCACTGAGCTACATCCCCAGCATCAGGTAAAGATTTCTTTATAAAGCAAGACATTTTAATAGTGCAGTGACTGATGGCTGGGAATTTCTTTTAAAAATGCCCAACATTGGCTGTGCATTTTGAAAGGTTAACACGTAGGAAAAAAATTAAGAACATAAGTCACCTGTGTACACACAGCCCCTACACACCTGGTTGATTTGGGCGTCTGTTTCTCTGTCCCTGTTTGTAGTCTTCACATGTATGTGGAGTACATGCACTCGTGTATGTATCTTTGCAAGTGGGATTATGTTGCCTTTTTTAGACTATTTCTTAACTCTGTATATCAAAAACGCCTTCCCATCTATATACAGATATTGCAAAACACAATGAAGGCGTATGGGGCAGCTCTGATAAAATTAAACACAGTTCTTTTCTTCTTTTTTTTTTTGTCTTAGCTGAGGGTGGGATAGCTGAGATTCTTGCATTTGAAAGGTACAAGCATCTAATTTGACTTGGAAAAGCAGGGTCTTTTGCTGAGCGTTCTGCTTCACCTGTATATTTAAAGATGGATGAAAATGACCTTAAATCTTAGGGCTTTATCTTCTTTTTTGGCAATTCTCACTGCCAAGCAAGTTCTCACACTTGCCAGGCAGGCGCTCTACCACTTGAGCTACTCTGCCAGTCCCAAACTGAGCTTTCTCAGCAATCTGTGCTGCCAGGCACGCAGATGCAGTCAGCTGTTTGTGTCCGTGTGTTCCAGATCAATAGAGTCAATCAACCACGAGTCAAACATATTAGGAAAAAAATTGCCTCTGTACTAAACACGTACAGATGATTTTTTCTTGTCATTATTCCCTAAGTGACACAGCATGACAACTACTTACGTAGCATTGACATTGTATTAGATATCATAAGGAATCCAGAGGTGATTTGCACCGTATGAAAGGATGTGTGTGGCTTATATGCAAATACTGTGCTGTTTTAGATAAGGGACTGGAACATCTGCGGGCTTAGTGTCCTGTGTGTGGGTCCTGAAACCAGTCTCCTGCAGATAACAAAAGATGCTGGACTTTCTTTGGCTCTGGTTTTCCCTGTAGCTTTAAATGTGCACTTGCATTCTGTGAAACAGTGGGTGAAACCACAGGTGTCCCCAAGGGCAGGAACTCTGTTCCTTGCTCAGTGCTGTGCTCCTCATGCCTAGTCACATGCCTGAGGCATCTTAGCTTCATGACTGGCATTGCCTTTCCCCTTATCGCCCGAGGGTGATTTGGGTACTCATGCTCTTGGTGTCTCTTTCAGGCCAGCTGGAGCCCAGGCCTTTGGTACGGGGTGTTCACAGCAGAAGTATCAGCATGAAGGTGCCCACCCCTTCCCGAGCCAAGCAGGGGTCCTTCAAGACCATGCCCCTCCGGTGGTCCTTTGGACACAGAGAGAAACGACCGGTTGCATCTGTCGAGTTGGTGGAGTACTTAGAGTCTAGACGGAGACCTCGCTCCACCAGCCAGTCCATCGTGCCACTGCTGACGCGAGCTGCTGGTGGGGATGGGAAGTCGGCGTTGCCAAAGTTGGATGTCACTCTTCCTGCTAAAGGTGAAGGTGATGGTCAAGCAAGCAGGAGAGGAGCTACTGGAGTGCCCTGTCCTTCAGGCTACCCCAACCACCATCCGGTTCCTGGATCTTTGGATGGTCTGAGCACAGTCAGGACGTTAAAGGGAAATGCAAATCAGGACATCAAGCTTCCCAAAAAATTTGACCTGCCCCTTACTGTGATGTCCTCAGTGGGGAATGAGAAACCAATGCGTGCAGAGGGTCAGAAGACTGCAAACTGGAAGGGAAATGGCCAGGTGGGGAGCCAGAGCAGCCCACCCTCACCCTCCATGGGATCGCTTAGAAATAGTAAGGACCGTGGCCAAGGGACCTTGCCCAAGATGAGAACTGCTATGGAGGAAAGGGCCTCTGAAAAAGACAGACTCCCACATGGGACATTCACTCTTCTCAGGTCTGTGTTTTGGAAGAAGGAGCACAGGAAGGCTGACAGGGCTGGGGGCTCACCACCAGCACCCCCAGACTCCCTGGTGAGTGGCAGGCTGAGCCCCACTGTGGACGAGCAGGCTCGAGGCTCGTCTCCTGTCCTCAGGACTCAAGAGAGCTTGGCCAGGGGCCTGGGCAGCCACGTGGAGAGGGATGTCCGATCTGCACCCGGTTCTCTCCGCCTCCCTCGCAAGGCTGCCAGGCCTCCCAGAGCCGTTGCCACTGGCCCCTCACACAGGAGTGTTCCTGGGGAGCACACTTATGGCACCTTGCAAAGGATGAAATACCACACTCTTTCCTTAGGTCGGAAGAAAACCTTACCGGAGTCCAGCTTCTGATGGACCATTTCAGTATTATGTGAAGCTGATGGTATTGGGACTGTGCCCTGAGAAGCTGTAGGCAGCCTGGGTTTACAGTGGGTTTTCTAGAAGCCAGTTGTCTTGCGAGTCCTTAAAGAAAAAAAAAAAAGTTTGGTCTCCACAGCTGCACTTCTAGCAACCTTGTGTCCAAATAACCCAATACCCCTTCTGTATTGTTGTGTGCTTTGATAAAGCCTGGCCACTAGAGGGTGATGTTCAGCCAACATAACCATTCAAGACAAGAACTGGTATTTTGCTTAAATAATTCCAGGACTGGAGCACTGAATGAATCCTCAGTGTCATGTCAAATAGATCATCAGGATCTCCTTTTCCTTTTTTTTTTTTTAATTGCAATAGTGGACTTACAAAGAAAACCTTTTCTGGTTAATGTTTCCCTGGCATAAGTGTCAAAGGTGTCAAGAAAAGGAAAGAAAAGTGACGTAAGGCAAGATTCTCAGAGAGGTGGAAGAGATGATTGATATTTTAGGAGAATATTTAATATATAACAAAAATAGTATTAAAGTTTTCAAACATTTTTAAAAGATAACTATTTTGATACCAGGAAAAAGGGATTTCTAAAAAAATTTAAGTATGAGATCTATGTACAATTTTAAATAAAATTTTAATAAAATCATCAGTGAAACATGCAAACGCCTGTTTGAATTATTCAAACTTGATAGATGACCTTGCTTTGTTCCTGTTGCATGACATTGGCTCGTTGCTGTGTCCATCAGAAAGTAGGTACTTGAGTTCCTCTGAAATTTAAAAGTGCTGTTAAATTAAGATGACTTGCTGTTTTCTAAAGAAGTACACATCTTGGGTGCCCTTCCCTCTCGGGACAGAGTTAGAGTCTTAGTCCGCCTCAGAAAATGTGTTTCTAAAACTTGGTACATGCTTTAAGAGCTGTTCTTATAAATATCCTATTGTTACTTACAAAGAAGATGCTAAACCAGACCCCAGGCTTGGGGGAGGTCTCTAGAAACTCTGTCTGCAGAGTCCATTTTCAGTACTGTGACCCACGCCTGTAATTCTAGGTACTTAAGGAGTAGAGATAGGGAGGATCACAGTTTGTCATCCTAGGCTGGCCCCCGTAAAATTCGTGAGACACTATCTGAGAAATAACTAAAGCCAAAAAAGGCTCAAGTGGTAGACCCTGAGTTCAAATCCCAGGGCTACCAAAAGAAAAAAAAATCCTTCCCCTCCCTTTTTTTTAAAGCAATGCTTCCTTTCTGATGGGAATTATTTGTTCAAGACACCTGACCCCAGAAGTTCAGTCTTCCTTCAGACACACATTATGACTCATTGGCATGTCTGCTTTTTTTAGGGACTAGGAATCAAACCAGAGCCTCATACATAATAGGCACTCTACCACTGAACTACTCCTCTAGTCCTCCTTTTTTTTTCTTAAGGAAGAATGGGGTCCTTTTTCACCCAGTGAAAAAGACAGCTTACCTTTGATTACAGCAATAATTACAGAATAGAAAGAACTGAGATAATAGAGAAAGCAAAAAACCAAGCACCTGACCCCAGAGGTCAGTGTGTACATTAGTAGGCTGGCATGTTTGTGTCTCAAAAGGAGTCCTTGTTCCTTCAAGTCATATTGATGGACTCTTGGGCAATGTGGAAGACATGCTTGTCCAAATGCTCTTGGTGACAGGAGTTTAGGAATCTTCCTGCCTTATGTGGTTTTTGTCTCTGTTTACACTCAGAACAATTTATACCTATGCTCTGAGCTCAACCTTGTGTTCTTTGCTCCCTAGAGATTGCAGTGTAACTCAGACATGGACCCCCAGGCTTCTCTCCTATAAGGACTCAGCTTTCGGGATACCCTTGCATTTTTGGGTATCATGAGAGGGCTGCAGTTGTTAGCGGTGTTCTCTGTGATGCAGCATGAATTGGAGCATTTGCCTCAGGCTCCCAACTTTGGAGTTGTAGCCTAGGCTGGCCTTGAACTTTTGATCCTTTTGCCTCAGCCTCCTGAGTGTTGGGATTACAGGTGGGTGCCACCATACCCAGCCCAACTGTGGAGGTTTAGAAAGAGGCAATGATGGGTGGGGCATGGTGGCATATTCCTGTAATCCCAGGTATGCAGAAGGCCGAGGTAGAAGGATCACAATCTGAGGCCAGCCTGGACAAAAGCACAGACTCTACCTGAAAAAAACTAAAACCCAAAAGTATCCAGGTGATGGCTCAAGTGGTAGAGTGCCTGCCTAGCAAGTGTAAGGCCCTGAGTTCAAACTCCACTACCACCAAAAAAAAGCAATAACATTTGAACTCTGGTGGATAACTGTGCCATTCTGGGTCTCCAATAAGGATGCCCAAGTTCTCTTAGTATCCACTTTCTTGGAACTGCTTTTCCCCCAGAAGAAAAAGCTAAACATTGATCTACCATATGATCCAGCAATACCACTCCTGGGGATATACCCAAAAGACTGTGACACAGGTTACTCCAGATGCACACCATGTTTATTGCAGCACTATTCACAATAGCCAAGTTATGGAAACAGCCAAGATGCCCCACTACTGACAAATGGATTAAGAAAATGTGGTATTTATACACAATGGAATTTTATGCAGCCATGAAGAAGAACGAAATGTTATCATTCGCTGGTAAAAGGATGGAATTGGAGAACATCACTCTGAGTGAGGTTAGCCTGGCCCAAAAGACCAAAAATCGTATGTTCTCCCTCATATGTGGACATTAGATCAAGGGCAAACACAACAAGGGGATTGGGCTTTGATCACATGATAAAGCGGGAGCACACAAGGGAGGGGTGAGGATAGGTAAGACATCTAAAAAATTAGCTAGCATTTGTTGCCCTCAACGCAGAGAAACTAAAGCAGATACTTTAAAGCAACTGAGGCCAATAGGAGAAGGGGACCAGGAACTAGAGAAAAAGTTAGATCAAGAAGAATTAACCTAGAAGGTAACACACACGCACAGGAAATTTATGCGAGTCAACTCCCTGTATAGCTATCCTTATCTCAACTAGCAAAAACCCTTGATCCTTCCTATTATTGCTTATACTCTCTCTTCAACAAAATTAGAGATAAGGGCAAAATAGTTCTTGCCGGGTAATGAGGGGGTGGGGGGGAAGAGGGAGGGGACAGGGAGGGGGGTAAGAGGGGAGAAATGATCCAAACATTGTATGCAAATATGAATATAAATAAATAAATAAATAAATAAAAAACAGAACAGAACACAGGAAATGGCTGAGTCTGATTTCTGCCCAAATCGAAGCAACAGAGCCATGGTTCCTGCCTTGGCCTTGTTTCTGACTGTAGGCCACAGGCAAATGGGCAAATGATTCTTGGGGAGGAAGTATAGCAAAACCATGTGGTGCTTTTCTCCAATCATAGATTCCTCTGGGAATTTGTAAATTGGAGTTAGAGAAAGGTTAAAAGCTGTGGAGCTAGACAGCACCATAGTTGGAAGTGAAGCTAGCTTCATATGCCAGAAGGTTTTCCTCTAGAAGCCTGAGGTCTATTCCTGCTGTCTGAGGGGTGGCCATGGTCTCATGGTGACAGATCACCCCTCACTCTTCCTTTATCTACCACTTGTCCAGTACTGGAAGGGAGGGCCATCCTGGTGGGGCCAGAAGCTCCAAGGGCCCAAAGTCAGAGGGCCAGGAAGACTAGAGGGAGGCCATAGTCAGTAGGAGTTACATAGTCACGGTTCTGGGAACCAGGTGTATATGTGGCTACATCCCATCAGCTGGATGTCCGCTGCAGTAAGGGAGCACAATGATGTAAGGGACAGTGAGTCACACTCTGTGCTGACTCAATTCATCCTAGACCTGCAAAGATAACAGTTAATTATCACAGCTGAGTAGAATTACTGTACAGCACTTGACTGTGCAAGATGGTTCTGAGCACTTTATAATAAGTCATTTGATTCATAGTAATCCTTTGAAGTAGGTACTGTTATCTCTGTTTTACAGATGAGGCAACTGAGGCACAGAGAAGTAATTTGCCTAAGGTCATATAGATAGTACAGCAGAGCCAGGATTTGAACACAGGTAATCCTGGCTCTGGGGTTCCTTCTAGCAATGCTGCCCATTTGAAGCCAGAACACTAACCCTGTGGGTTCCCACCAAATTGCTTCTGGCATTCCCTGTTCATCAAAATAGAGGGAAATGTGTTTGCCAGATTGATAGCTTAATCCCAAGTTCCCAAAGCTGTGTTAACTTATTACAGCAAGGAGACTATATCTGGAAAAGTCCTTGTCAGTGAACTCACTACTTTTTAAATCTTTGATATTCTCCAAGTCCCATTAACTTCGGCACCAAACTGGGGCACCTAGTGAAGACGTGACAGGAATTAATTAGGATACACAGCAGATTGGCTTTACGTCTTTGTGGCTTTTATTTCTGATTCTTCTGGGGATACAGTTTTGCTTTTGATTCATGTTATTTATTGGGAGGGATTGTTCCAGTGACATTTGCCTGGCCTAATCATAATTGACTCCGTAAACATTTGAGGGTCCACTAGATAGAAAACCATATTTCAAGGCTCTAGCAATATAACAGGAAATAAAATGTCCAAGTTCTTGTTTTAAGCAACTTATATCGTAGTTGGAAAAGAACTAGTAGACGTAACTACAGTAATTTCACATAAATAAGGATTTCAGGTAGTACAGTGTATGGGTCACATGAGACTTCCCTAAGGAAAACCTTTGGTGGCATTCTGCTACACCCTGAGGCCAGCCAACTGAACACTCAGTGTACTGAAATGTCCTCAGAAGGGGCCCAATTTCCACTGGGCCTGCCAAGATGCAAAGTTAAGTTAAAACTCCATTTATCACCTGGTTCCCATCAGACTGACATGGTGCTATGGGGTTCTGGATTCCTGAGAATCAATGTCAACTCAGTCAAATGGCTACAGAAGTTTCTTTGAAGAATGGTAGGGAGAGTTGTTTCATTTAAGGAATTCTGGATGTGTGAACTGACTTAGGTCAGAATAAAAAGTTAAGATCTCTCAATGCAAGTCACGTTATTTTTCACTCTCTGAGAATTTCTGGTGATTTGAAGTAATTAACACCCAAGTAGCCTGGCCTGTTGGTTTAATTTCTGGGGCATCAAATCATAACCAGCATTATCGAATGGTATCCCCTGGAGATCTGACTATGTGACTGAGCTTGGCCACTTGGTTCTTCTCCTGTTCCAACTAAGATCAAGGTCCTCATTTGAGCAGCGGCCTTGTCCAGCAGCATTCCTGTTTAACTTGGGTATAGCTATTAAGTACTTTTCTTTGAGAGAGGGGTGTTCTATTTTCACCCTTTATGTGAATGCAGAGTGACTTCACAGGTTCAGATCATTAAATAAACAGACTTCATAATGAAGTATTGACAATAAGCATGGTGTGAATTCTGGAAGTAAGACAGACTAGAAGTAGGAAAAGTCTGGGGCTCATGTAGGTTGCCCAGAGATAGTCCAGACCACCCTCACCTGGCTGGGAGCCATCCATGCCCCTTCCCACTCATTACTGGGTGGGAATCTCCTGGGTCTGCCCTCCCCATGGGTGAGTGTAGGTTTTCTGAAAAAGAAAAGCACACTCTCTCTGCCTGTGGGTGGACTCCACCTGTGCCCTCCATGCTCCTTTTGTTTCCCTTTCCCTACTTTTAATAAACTCCATTTATACCCATGCAATCTGCTTGGGTTCTTCCATGCTGGAACCCAAGAACTAAGGTCTTCTGAAATTACGATTTGCGAAGCTAGCTGGGAGAAAGGAGTGGTGAGCCCCCAGACCCTACACTTAAGAGTATCACTCTCATTCTTTTCACTATTTGTCCTTCTGCACTGCCAGGGAAACCGGCTGAGCTCTGTCCTCAGGGAAAGTAGCTGGCAGATGCTGGGTCAGGACCCAGCCTTATCTGCCCAACAGGCAGGCCTCCCTGCAAGTCCAGTTGCAGAGGCAGGTGCAGAGTCTGTCTGCCCGATGTGTGCTCCCCCCATGGCTTGGGGCTCACGGAGAACGGGCAGGCCAGGCCTCCTTAACCTCTAACAAGCTTTCCCTTCTTCCTCTCCAACCC